TTTGCCTTTCATATTTTTTTTCTTTCTTTTGACATTGACGATATTGTATTTTTGGCCTTCATAATATGTTGGCATTTGGTTATATTATTGAGTGAAACTGTACGTTGCTGTTTGGTAGTGACTCTGTACATTGTTTTATTTAATTTCATCTCTGACCCAAATATATTTTTTCATCTATAATTCCTACAAAAATATGTAAGTAAAAAATATGTAAGGGCTGGAGATGGTCTAAGTAACAAGGCAAGTTTCAACTTTTATATCTCTGAAGACATAACAGTGCAACACAATCCATTTCTGTTATAAACTTTAGCTTTCAACGATAAATACGGCATCTTGTTATTAATGTACCGGAAATTAATCACACAAAACCGGTTCGGTTTAGAGATTTCATATCCGGTTAAAACTCTTGGCTAATTTGATTTCTCTTTCCGTGAAACTGATGAGAGTAAGGAACCGTTCGTCGGACAACAACAGTGAGTAGAATCGAATCGAATAGCAGAAGCTCAATTACTGCCGATGAGAGAAGAAGCTTTCATTGGGAGAGAGAGAGATAAAGCGATCTTCGTTGGTTTTGAGAAATTTTGGGATCAGGAGCGATGGGATACGGATGGGGGATCTTCGAAGGCATCCTTGTGATGGGATCACTGTGTCTGTTAGGATCAGCGGGTCTCTGGTTCTTGAACAGAAGGCTTTACAAGGAGTACGAAGAGAAACGAGCCTTGGTTCAGATCCTTTTCAGCATCGTCTTCGCCTTCTCTTGCAACCTCTTGCAGCTCGTCCTCTTCGAGATTATCCCCGTCTTATCTAGAGAGTAATCTTTCAATATATGCTTTTTGTGTTTTTTTAAAAAACTTTTTTTATCTCAGTATTGATTGTTCCTCTGTTTCATGTGGAAACCTAATGTATAACATCAAAGATGAAATTTGTTATTTGATGAGAGATAACCGCCTTATCAGCTAGCAATGAAAGAAAAAAGGTGAAGCCTTTGGGCTTTCTATTGAGACTTTTTTTTTTAAATTTTATTTTTGGTTTTGCAGGGCAAGGATGGTTAACTGGAAAGTGGATCTCTTTTGTTTGATTGTGCTTCTTGTGTTCATGTTACCTTATTACCATTGCTATTTGATGCTTCGAAATACTGGTAAGCTTCCCTTTTCCCCTTATGCTATTGATGTTCTTTCTTTTTTTTCAGTTTGATATTGAATCAAGTTTAAGGTTTTTATTAGCATCATTATTTGTTAATATGACATTTTCAGGCGTAAGAAGGAAACGTGCTGGTGTTGGGGCCTTGTTATTCTTGACAGCATTCCTCTATGCCTTCTGGCGCATGGGAATTCATTTTCCTATGCCTTCACAAGACAAAGGTACCCTCTTCGAGATTATTTTTTTTTTAAAAAATTGAAATGAGAGTGTGAGTATGTGACACTGACGCTGAAACAATCATTCTGCCTTCTTTATGCCTGTGGTGTCTATATACAAACGCTCATCTTGTTACTTGACTTAAGCGCCCTTTTTATTTTGAAAGGTTTCTTTTCAATGCCTCAACTGATCAGCAGAATCGGGGTCATTGGTGTCACCCTCATGGCCGTTTTATCGGGTTTTGGAGCTGTTAATTTGCCCTTCAGTTATATATCGCTCTTCATCAGGTATTTCCCTGCATTATTCAAGTTTTTCTTCTAGCTTCTGCTTTATTCTAATTTCTTTTGGCTGTTAAGTTTTATCTTGGCTATCCTTATTTTCCTTTGGTGTTACGAATAATTAGATAGACATGATTGGCACTGCATTTGTCAGTTGCCACTTTATTTTCCTTTGAGAGGAGAAAAATATTGCAACTGAGAGCAAAGTAAATTATGAAAGAAAAAGAGATGTGGACTAAAAAATCATGTTACGAAACTGCGTAATGGGAATTTAATAGCTGAACTCTGAAGCGTTTTAACTTCTGTAATGTAAATGAATCTACACTATAGAAGAGCTGCTGGATTGGAAGTTTTTTTTTTTTTTAAATATTAACAGCTCGTTTTCCTGCCTCTCTTCCTCCCTGGAAACATATAGGGAGATCGAAGAATCAGAAGTAAAATCGTTGGAAAGGCAACTGATGCAATCAATTGAGAGTGGCATAGCTAAGAAGAAGAAAATTATATTATGTCAAATGGAGGTGGAACGAAGTCAAGTATCAGAAGAGGTATGTTTCGGTCTACTACTTTAGTATACTCGAGATCTTGTATATTTTCTTACTTATATCTCACAATGCTCACGAACTTTGAAATGACTTTCTTTCATAACAATGCTTTTCTGTGCATATGTCAATGTGTTCTCTTTATGCTAATTCTGTGATGAGTTTAGGAAGTAATCACTTGGTGCTTTTGGCTTCCAGATTCAGAAGGGTAGATCTTTCTTTAGAAAATTTGTCGGGACTGTTGTGCGGTCGGTTCAAGATGACCAAAAGGAGCAAGGTCAGTCAATATGTTTTTTAGCTTATGTAGTGATGCCTGCTAAACATTATATTTGTAAAAGTGATTGTACATGTACACTATCTTTAACTCCATTAGAATTTACTTTAAGATAAACCATGTAATTTCATCTATAAGGTTAAAATGTCATCTTCTTTCTTTAAGCTAACAATTTTTCATTGATCATTTTATCCTTTGCAGATATAAAACTAATGGAGGCGGAGGTGGAAGGGTTAGAAGAGCTGTCAAAGCAGCTATTCTTGGAAATTTATGAACTCCGCCAAGCAAAGGTCCCTTGCAGCACTGTACCATAACCTTTGATTTAACTACGGATTTCTATTCATTGTCATGCAATGACATCTTTCTATACTCTCTGTTACTTAGGTTATTTACTTGGTGATATTGTAAAGTTGTAATACATATTCATACAATTTACTACTTCCCATTTGCAGGATGCTGCTGCTTTTTCTCGAACTTGGAAGGGTCATGTGCAGAATTTTCTTGGCTATGCGTGTTCCATTTACTGTGTGTATAAGATGTTGAAGGTACATTTTGTTTGTTTATATGTGAGCTCCCTTTAATATATTTAACTCTATGTTATCCCAGTATTGCAAGACTATGTTAAACTCTTCGGCAGTGTAACAACAGAATCTTGGTTTATTGGATGAAAATGTCTTTGATATTATTTTCTCAAATGTAACTGTAGTGAACCAGTATTTCTAACTTCTCTGTTTTTTCCTTTGTTTTCTCTGCAGTCTTTACAAAGTGTCGTTTTCAAGGAGGTATTCTCAAGCTCATGATTTCTTATACACTGATGAATGCATCGCTATCTTTATTTGTTTACTTATTTACGACATGGAATAGTAATCAGTTTGGTTACAGGCGGGTAACAAGGATCCTGTCACGATGATGATCAGCATATTCTTGCAGTTCTTTGATATAGGAGTAGATGCTGCATTGCTCTCACAGGTTTGTATGACTTGGTTTTTTAAAATGTTTATAGTAAATCTAGTGAAGTGCTACTAGGCTAGTTAATATCTTTCTCCTTACAGTATGTCTTCCAGATGAAAAGCGGAAGGATTTATTTTCTGTAATAACTGTACCTTCGTAGGGCCTTTGATGGGATGGAAAATTATGTCACTGGGAGTTCACAGTTTTAGTAGACGCTTGTATACTAGGCGTTTGATGACCTTTTAACTTGAAAAATGCTTATATGGTTCTCAAATTAACCTATGAATTTCTTGGCTGCCCAGGATAGTGCAACTTAGGTCTGATTCTGTCTATTTCTTTATTGTTGTCAGTATATCTCCTTGTTGTTTATTGGGATGCTGATCGTGATATCAGTGAGGGGATTTTTGACGAATCTTATGAAGGTGAGTTCTGATATTAGCTTTTAAATTTCGTCTTTACATAAACTTTTATGTTGTCCACTTATATTTGATGCTTTACGGTCAAATTTCAACTTGATAGGAAAAAAATAGTCTCTTGTTATTCAGTGGATTGGTACTTGATTGGTGATAGTATGGTGATTTTACAATTAATGGAACAGAACTAACAATATAATGACTTGGGTGTTTTTTTGGCTGGAGTGTTACAGTTCTTCTTTGCAGTATCGAGGGTAGGAAGTGGATCGTCAAGCAATGTTGTGCTTTTCTTATCTGAAATCATGGGAATGTACTTTTTGTCTTCCATCCTCCTTATAAGAAAAAGCTTGAGAAATGAATACAGGTACGCCCGAGTTGGTTTATAACTAATCCAAAGATAAATACTAGAAGCGTTAACTAGTTGCTTATCAGTGACGCTGTGTGTTTTGTTGGATGCAGAGGGATAATAACGGAGGTATTAGGCGGAGATATTCAGTTTGATTTCTATCATAGATGGTTTGATGCAATCTTCGTGGCCAGCGCTTTTCTGTCCCTACTCTTGCTTTCTGCGCATTACACGTCTCGCCAGATCGATAAGCACCCGATTGACTGAACAAACAAGCAAGGGAATCATCTGTAAGTTCCCTTGGTTCGAGAGTTTGGTGTACATGAAAAGGTTGATACAGTTAGTACTACTTACTTGAAAACTCTGTTGAGTTGTTTAACATCCGCGAATGTGACTAGTTGTAAAAAGAAGAGATTTGATATTAAAAATTTTCTTACCTCTTTAATCTTTTAGACATGCTTTATATTATCTTATTTACACGCAAACATGATCTTTCATGGAGGTGCTTTAAAGAAAAAGGAAAAGTAAAAAGAGTAATGAGCATCATGATTTCATTAAGCATTTGACTGAGAGGACTTTTTCTTTTCTTTTAAATGTTAAGAATATTGTAGTTGAGAGAAGTTGGTTATGTCTTCTTGCTTCTGTCCTGTGTATGTTCACTAACGACGCAATACAGATCTCGGTTCAGAATAAGGTGACCATAAGCAACCTTGGCTGAGAACAAATTAACTCTCTAAAGACTACAGCTTCGTTGCAACTAACTTCGAGTTCTATCACTGTAAACATATTAACTATTAGCTTTACCGTCAAAGCACTAAATAAACGGTATTACATTATTTTATTGTATGTTTCTTTTTAAAAAATCTCACCCCTGAATCGCATTCACTGCAACTAATGTAGAACAAAATTACCAAACAAAAACAAATTGGATTCGACATTTTTGAGAGAAACAATAAATAAACAAAAGTAACACAACGAATTTGTGTTGGCGGTTGATGGCGAGGTGTGAAAAGTAGGCTTCAACGGCGTTAGAGTAGTTGTGTATCTTCTTCCTACCTCTGCTCCTCTGTCTCCTCATTTCTCGAAAATTTTGCCAGGTAAGCTTATTATAGTTTTCCTCTTGGACAATTGATAATCCATTATTGTTACCCGAAGCTTTGCCCTCTGATTAGTCTCGGATCTACTCGTTCGCTGTTCGGAACACTGTCTCTGCTGTATTAACAATCATTCCGATTATTATTGTCGTCGGATTTGTTTGGTATTTTGATTAGCCTTCGGTGTTGTTGTTGACCAATTGATTTCCGTTATCTGTCGTTTAGGGTTTGATTCAGACAAATATCCTTTTATTTATTTATTTAGTCCTCTGGTGGTAATAGAGGTGACTGAATATGAACTCATGGCATGAACTGTAGGTTGTTAAATCGAGTGGTACACATTCTCAGAAGCAGTTAGTCATTTTCTAACTGTCAGCTTTTTTTTTTTTAATTGAGATTGTGATTGTGATTGTGGTAGAATCTCGAATGTTTCAAAACATTAACTTATGAAATCTTGGTGGTGTTCCTAGTCCGGAAGCTGGTGGTTTGTTTAATGATATGTACTTACATCTCTCTATGCTAGGTTAAGCTTGGATGATAGAGACGCTTGACTTTCTCTTAACATGAGTTCACGAAGACATCACGGAGTTGAGAACTCCCGTGGTGAAGGAGGGCCAAACTGGATCCTAATTGCAGGGGGAGCCTTGTTGAGTACATTGTCCATACGCTTTGGGTACAAGTTAAAACAGTCAGTTGACACAAAACCTCATCCGGATGGCACTGGTGGATTAAAACGTACTTGTATCACTTCACTGCTCTTACCTTCCCTCATGAGGATTCGGTTTTTGTTTTCTATCTTATTGGATGGTTGTTGTGTTGTGCAGCCAACGGAAGATCTCGAGGATGCTGCCTGCATTCTAGCTCATCTTCTTGTGAAAGGAATAAGGATTGTTGCTTCCATAACAGTCTGGGTGAGAGTTAGTTTGTGATTTGGTTATTCTAACAACTCACTTTTCTTATACATATATCTCTTAACTTCACCTAGTCTCTTACTGTGTTTGTGTCTTTGTAAACTAGTTGAAAGAATATGGACTTGGTTTTGACAAATTTGTAGCCACAACTGCATAATGACATGTGTTTGTAGCCTAATATGGGTTTCATATTTCAAGTAGCTACTTGCATCAGTGAGCTGGCAGCTATGTGTTTTGTTCTCAGAGTTTTGCCTTTCTTGTCAGGAACTGAGAATGTGGAGGGAAACCATGCCACTAACGAGCAAATGGTGGTTCCTAGTAATTCGCTGCCTCTTGTGACAGTTCCTGCTCCATCATACGCCAAAGAGAATGTAGCCGGGTGGGCTGATCACATGAAACAATACAATCACCAGTCGACCTGCTCAGATTCTCCTTGCGTATCTGAATCAGGGTCAGACATATTCAGCAAGCGAGAAGTAATCCAGAAACTGAGGCAACAGCTGAAGAGACGAGACGACATGATACTCGAAATGCAGGAGCAGATCATAGAGCTACAAAACTCGTTGAACGCGCAGATGTCACACTCTAGCCATCTCCAAGCTCAGCTAGACGCAACAAACAGGGATCTGTTCGAATCAGAGAGAGAAGTGCAGAGACTGAGAAAGGCAATCGCTGATCACTGCGTGGGACAGGCAGGTAGCAACGGCTGGAACGGGGAAGCAAACGGGTTTATGGACAGCGAAAGCAACTATGAGTCACCAGAAAAAGGATCTAAGGATGGAGAGAGAATAGAGATGCTGAGAAAGGAAGTTGGTGAGCTCAAAGAGGTGATAGATGGGAAAGAGTATCTACTTAGAAGCTATAAAGAACAGAAGATTGAGCTTTCAGAGAAGGTGAGAGAGCTGCAGCAGAGATTGGACTCGCAGGTCCCAAACATTTTGTAGGTTGGAAAGGTGGTTAGTAGGTATTGTGCATTCTTTACTATCTTTTCTTCTCTAGGAGAAACAACAAACATAAATGAGTCATTGCTCTCTCTCTCTCTCTTCTGAATACAATTTGTTTTGGTGTATAAGCTTCGGCTTTGAGCGCCTTTGTCTCTCTCTGGTTTTTTTTAATCATCTTTGACGAAGAGAATATATTCAAAATGTGCAAGTTCTACACTTTGGTGTCTTCAAGTTAATTTTTTTAACGATTAGATTATTGATTTGGTGGGGTGTAATTGGTTGGGTCTCATGAAGAACGTTAATATAAAGTGTATTGCAGACTAATAATTTGGAATATAAACAAACACTAAAAGGTTAGATAGAGTAAGAGAGAGGTAGAGAAGAAAATTTGGAATATACACACTGAAGGTTAAGAGTAAGAGAGAGAGATAGAGAAGAAAGATATCCTTCTTTAGATTGTGCTAAAGCCAAAGTCACTTTACGTTCCTGATGGGTTTGACTTTGGGCAGCTGAAAAAAAAAATAAATAAATAAAATCATTAGAAAGATTAGAAAGATATTAGATTAATGTTTAACTAAAATGTCTAGGACACTTACGGCTGCAAATTCCTTGAATGTGCATTTGCAAGATGCTGATACCGATTGCAAGTAGTCTTCATTAGTGCTGTTCTTATCATAGATAAGAAAGGTATGGTGCCCTTTGAGTGTGAGAGTCTCGAAGTATGTGTCAAATCCCCCATCGGATGAAACAATAAAAAAATTGGTACCTACACAGAGCAAACTCACATGGTGATTTAAAGTAAACCAATGTTAAGACAAACTATTTCCACCTTGAAAGGTAAGACTGGTTTCAACAAAAGAGAGATCTCCCTATGTTCACTCTATCATAACGCATATGGTGTTTTCTAAGACTAATCACTCTATCATAACAAACAAATATTTAGCATATTCTATGGAATCTATTAACGCATATGGTGTTTTTTAAGACTAATCAGACACATTTAAGACACAATTTAAGCAAGTTTGGTTCAAGTAAACGCATATTGGAAACAAACGGATATTGGAAACAGTTCAAGACACAATGAGATGGAACCTTGTTTGCCTTTGTTAGAGTCATCTTCTTCGTTAGTGACATCCTCTTCGTTAGTGTCATCCTCCAAGAGATCAATCAGCACATCAATCCTCGCCTTGATGGCCTCATCTGCTGCTTGCTCCGCATCAGAATCCACTCTGACATGCGTAATACCACTGTCACTTTTATTGAACTCAGCAATCACCTCCTCTGGAACCCTTTTAGGAGGAAGCCCTTTCATGGCTGAATAAGCTTCTATCAACACTTCGCCCTCGTATCCATGCGCCTTGAGGAAGGCTTTGAACTGATTACCCACTGTTCTTGAGTATCTGATCGGAATCCTGTGGTTTTCGAGATCCCACAGCACTATGTTTTTGGCGTTCTTAGTCGCCGGCGTTGCCTTATTTGCACGGCAAATCTTCACACCCCTTGCCTTTCGTTCGAACCTCCTCCTCTTCTTCTTAGCACTCCCCATTTTTGACCGGAGCTCAGAAGAAACCCTAACAATGAACGCCTTTCCTGCCGCAAAGAAAGGAGAAAGATTGTTTTAAGGTTTTTCATTTTGCTTATATTTATGGGCTCTTTTAATGGGCTTCAGCTTTCTTTTGTTTTTCTTTGTATATTATATCCATGCCCCAAAAGCCTAACTATTTTCCAACTGTGATTAAATGCCAACCTAATCCAAAGTAATTTATAACATATAAGAGCACCATTACCCCAATTGCTTAATCATTTATTTACTAATAAATGTGTGTTAAGCACTTTAATTAAGTACCCTTCTAAACAAATGCTCTCACAACTTTTATTTTACCAAAGGAATGAGTTTCATATAGAGAAAGCAATAACTTGTCGCTAAATATTGTTACCTGAACCATGCATGGACGTTTTTCGAGTCGCCTATCAATCAGTTCGCTGTAATCTCCGGTCTCAATGGCTTTTAGAAACAGTGGACGTGCCAGTGTGAAGTCATGTAAGCTAGAGCCAATCTTTTATTGTGATTGTATCATTTAGTCTAACAAGTCCAAAATCAGCAACCTTTACACCATTAAAAACAAGAATAAGTCACATCAACTAAAATTTTACAGAGTCATATGATGCATATTAAAAAAACAGAGAAGCTTTTTTCATTACCTGAACTTCATATTCATCATCAAGCAGAATGTTTGCTGACTTGATGTCCCTGTAAATAATTTTTGGATGACCTGTAAAAAAAAATAACAAAGATGTGACTAGCTATTGTTTTGAATTAAAGTCAAAAACACACAACCAAAAAGTTGTGAAGGTTATGTTTCTCAACAAATGGATGAGTAACTACTTACAGTCTTCATGCAGATACGCCAACCCTTTGGCTTATCCTATAGCGATCTTTACTCTCTTAGACCACTCTAAAACCGGTCTTCCCTTTCTATCAAGACAGAACATTTTGAAATAAGTCAGTCCAACACATAAAGCTAAAACCCTTAAACCCTAGAAGATAGAGAATGAGAGAGTTACCTGCCAAACACAACTGAGACAGGTTTTGGCACTAGAAAAAACCCCACACCTTCATAAACCAGAGAACATCACCTTTCTCAGTGTGTTCAAATTCAGACTGAGGCATCCCCATAGGCTGTAACTTAACCCTCCCATCACGTTTGTTCTGCACACCAAAAAACCAGAAACAAAACAGAGTCAGTCCATCAACATCTCAGCAATGATAAATAAAGCTTCACATCATCATTTTATTTCTGCAGTTACAACGACAAACAAAATAGAACTAAAACTGAGATCATAAAAGAATAAAACCTTGCAAAAGACTCTGGTTGTTTCGAAATCAAAGGGCTTCATCAAGTTCACAGATAATATTTAAAAACGAAAGAATGGTCACAGAACAACCAAATATATGAATAGCTTCACAGAGAATTCTAGCACAAGATAAAAATAATACATCAATATGAGACATCAAAGTTCTCTCCTTTATGTTCTCACAGAGGTTCAAACAAATTAAAGCTTTAACATTCAATAACATCAGCAGAAAAAAAGTTAGATTCCGATCAATTTAACACATAAGAGAAACTATGATTCCACATAAACTCCATACATATCTCTCTACGTTCCAATCAAACGAGTACCTGATCGCCAACTGTATGAGAATCTGAAAACTCTTATCAATCTGAATCAAAAGAATTACACTCGGAAGCAGAAGCAGAATCAAAAGATGGGAGGACCACGTAGAAGCCAGTGTTGGGGTAATTTCGTTTGTCGCCGCTAGAAGGAGGACCACTTGGTGACTGGCGGAGGAGAGATCGAGTCGAGAGAGACACGTGTCCAGTAAGCAACGCTTCTTCCAAAGCTTAATGTTTTTGGTGGATTGCTTGACCCCACCAAAAACACAAGCAACCATCCCCTATCTTGCAAAATAAGCAACTGATTTGGGGTGTTACTTACACTGTTAGTGGATCCACTGACACGAGGCGATTGGTTCGTAAAAAAAAAATTTTAAGCAACCCAGTTTTAGATTGCTATAATGATACTCTTAAGCACAGCGTCTTCTATAATTACTTTTTTTTCCTTTTCTAAATCCAAAAGTCATTGAGAAACTCATTAACTACTTGGATTAATGGTGCTCTAACCCACCTGGTCTCAACGTGTCTAAACGAGAGCTTACTGCGTTATTTGTTAAACACCCATTTTAATACATAGTAATGCAGTTGACAAAATATGTGCTCACTTTTAAAAAAAAAGTATTTAATTTTGATTTTAAGAAAAGCAAAAAAAAAACAGTAGGGCAATAATCATATTTTTAACGTAGGTGCAATCAAATTAATCTTTCACAAAATTACATTGATCTTTAAATGTTTGAATGCGTCCTCTTTGGCAACTATCCATCTTACATAATCACTTGCTTGCTTGATATTTTATTATTTGTATTTTAGTAAAATACTTACAAATAAAATAATTTATAAACATGTTAATATACTTGGTTAATTTTAATGTTAATTTTTAAATAATTTATTACTTTATTGTTTTAAAATAATGTATTTATTATTTTTTGAAAAAATAAAAATACAGTAAAACCAAGACGCACCTGTTTCTTAATAAATGACATACATGCATATTTATATCTATGAGTAAATGATTTTTCTGGTTTCAATGTTTCATATTTCTATAGGCAAACTATTAACATTATTATTGTTTCATGTTTCTTCTGTCCGATAATTTAACAAGACGCAGATTAAAGTATAGAAGTTAACTTGAAATTAAACAAACCATTCAACATAAGAAATGGCCCCTTTAGAGAACAAGATCACCACGGAGGGCCATGTACTCTCCTTGAATCATGGACATTTTTGACTGCAATGTAGCACCAACAATAATCAGAAAAACAAATATGTTTCCTTGAAATAAGAATTAAATCTATTTGTTTTATATATATATATATCGCTTAATTAAGAGAAACTTGCCTTCGATTGCTCCTTCGCAATAGTATTCTTTGGAAGGGAAGACTCGAATTCTTGTTCAACCTCCAAATTTTTTGCCTGGAAATAAAAAAGGGAGCTGTGGAGTCATACAGGGAATGATTTGGTTGGGGTTAACTAATGACTACAACCATAAAAGTTATCAATTATGCTTTACCTAGTTTTTAAAATTAAAATCAAAATTTAAAAAAAATGGCTTTAGCACATTTGTTTTCTAAAACACTATTTTATATGTTGTAGACAAAAAAATATTACAGTAGGAATATCTTTCAATTTTTGTTATTTTTTATATTTAATTCTACATTTGCTAGAGCTAAATCAAAATTTTATACAGACAATTCTACAGAAAAATCAAAAATTTCTACAGCTAAATCAAAAATTTCTACAGACAAAATTCAATAGCTAAATTAAAAATTTCTACATATTTTTTATTTAAATTATTTAGACAAAATTCTACAGCCAGATCAAAAATTTCAACAGCTAAATCAACAGACAAAATTCTACAGCTACATCCCAGCCAATCACCATCATAATTCTTTGTGGGAAAATCAGAAAAACTTGCCTTCTTTGTCTTAGATGTAGAATTCTCTGGAAGGGAAGAAGCAACTTTTTGAATGTTCGACATTTCTGCCTGTAGCACAAACAATAATACGTAAATCAAAATGGTGTTTCACAAGTTACTTTTATTTATGTCTGTGTTTATGTTAAAAATAAATAAAACATTAGGTTTCGTTAAAAAAAACTTGCCTTAGATTGCTTAAACGGGTTGGAAGTAAGATGCTTATGCCGACGATTAAAGTAGGATTTTCTTTCCCACAATTGATCAAGATAATGCTGTATATTTCACAGCAACCAATCAGCAGATATCAAAAGAAAATTTAACGGAGAAAAAACAAACTTGCCTCTGAAAGCTTATCCGCCTCTAATTCTTTAAGAGCCAGCTTAAACTTGGTATCCCTGGCACCATTATGCACTGCAACCTAAGAAAAGGAAACGAGAGAGAGGTTAGACAATTAACAAATGTAAAGCAAAATGATACAATATTTGCAAAGAGGATACTTACCTTGCGTGTATGCTTGTCGCTCTGGAGGTGATTGATGAAATCTTCAAAGGTGGGGCGGAAAAAATTGCAGAATCCGCAAGAAAACTGCATTCCACTGCCTTTGTTGAGTCTTCTTGTTTCCTTCTCCTCATTGGAGGACCCTGCGACAAACAAGTTCAGAAACAACAACAGCCTAATTCATGAGAGAGAGAGAGAGAGAGAGAGTGACACCTTTCAGTAAGCTAGCCCTACTCCAGAGCCACTCTCCACCAAAGCGGACAAAGGATGAAGGATGTGGTTGTTTAGGTTTCACATGTGGTGGATATGCCAGTAGAAGATTGTATCCACAGTCGGGCCTGACGTAAATCTCGCAAGTGAGTGATTCCATTAGACCAGGAAGGCCGGATATGAGCATTATTGTCACCGGAGGAGGCTGACAAAGTCTGTTGCGCGAAACGAAATATTTTGACATGTCCGGATACATGCCGTATCCTGTAAGGACAAGTTGAATTGAATCTAAGCTGATATAAAATTCAATTAAATTAGTTTATAAAAGAAAAAACTTCAGAGAAAAAAATGATTAATTAACCTGAGTGTTTAATAACGAATCCGTTGGAAGAGAGCACTTCCAGGAACTCATAAGGGATCCCGTCCAGGTCGCCAAGGGCAATTAGGGTGAGCGGACCATTGTAGCCTAGATTCTTCAACTCCGTGTCTATTCTCGGACCGAGCCGGCTTGGGTCATAACCACTGGGGAGCGGACAGCTGTCCATGTCCCACCACACTAAAGTTTCAGATGTCGCATACTCAGGCGTCGCCTTGCTTACGTTCTTCATCATCTTTTCTTCTTTTTTTAACCTAATAAATTCCATAAGACAGGCAGACAGACAGACGCACGCGAATTAGGTTCTGATCAAAGAATAATAGACATATCAAAACATTAGACAACACAAGAGATTGATAATCACCGACCTCGGATATGATACTACGCCGACAGAGAGAGAGAGAGAGAGAGAGATCAAAAGCGATGTCCCTCTAACCATTTAGGGTTTATTTTATAACTTCACTTTATGGGCCAACTTAATGGGCTTCATAGTTTTCGGGTTACTTAATTTTACCAAGTGCTTTCTGGAAAAGTAACTGATATGATGCTAACTGTTATCCACACTTTTTTTGGCATTTCATAACATTTTGAATGATTGGCGCTGGTTTTCTTGTCATATCGGTGTAATATTAAAACCAAAGTGACATACAAGCTGTATAACAAAACAAAACAAGAAACTATCAAACCCACAAAAGGAGGCAACGTTCAAATAAAGGAAAATAAATTACAACCATTGGTGGTGTAATCATAGTGCAAGGGACCATTGGTGTTGTTATTAGGCATGGGCGTTCAGGTACCAGTTCGGGTTCGGGTATATCGAATATCGGTTGTTTTTTGTAACACCTCCTAGATTCCATTTTAACACATCAGTTTCGGTTTAGGTTTGGATTATACTGAAGTTACCGCATATCATTTGGGTTCGGGTTTTAGTGTATCGGTTTCGGATTAACTGAAGTAAAATTCAAAGAAAACAAATAAACATAAAGACACTTAACTTGAATTTATGAATCACAATTGTTGAGATTTGGTTTATTAATACTCATTATTATAAAGCAAATCTCATATTGTAGCAACGGCTGGAACGGGGAAGCAAACGGGTTTATGGACAGCGAAAGCAACTACGAGTCACCGGAAAAGGGATCAAAGGATGGAGAGAGGATAGATGCTGAGAAAGGAAGTTGGTGAGCTTAAAGAGGTGATAGATGGGAAAGAGTATCTACTTAGAAGCTATAAGGAACAGAAGATTGAGCTTCAGCAGAGATTGGACTCGCAGGTCCCAAACATTTTGTAGGTTGGAAAGGTGGTTAGTAGGTATTGTGCATTCTTTACTATCTTTTCTTCTCTAGGAGAAATAACAAAACATGAATGAATCATTGCTCTCTCTCTCTTTCTTCTGAATACAATTTGTTTTGGTGTATAAGCTTCGGCTTTGAGCTCCTTGATGTCTCTCTTCTCTGTTTTTTTTAATCATCTTCGGTGAAGTGAATATATGAAAATGTGCAAGTTCTACACTTTGGTGTCTTCAAGGCTTTTGTAAAGTTGGCCAAGTGTTGTTTTCCGATAACGGGCATTTCCATAAGTTTCTGGTTAGGTTTCCAGTTTACTAATGAAGAAAGCTTTAGAGAAGAGATGGATCAAGTTAACTAATCATAATGATTACATAGATCAAAAAGCATATATGGAGCTGGCAGTTATTAGTTGTATACTACAAACTATAAAAAAATAATGAACACATAGAAATAGAGATGGCAATATGGGCTCTGTCCCGTGGACTCCTTCGCCTTAGTATTCTTTGGAAGGGGAGACTTGAATTCTTTTTCAATCTCCAATTTTTTTTGCCTGTAATGTTTTGAGTAAATAAAAAAGGGAACTGTACGTATATTACACAGCATTTTTGCAGACATATAATAGTTTGTTTGTGGGAAAATAAGAAAAACTTGCCTTCATCGTCTTAGCAGTAGAATTCTTTGGAAGGGAAGAAACAACAACTTGTTGAACATTCGACTTTTTGCCCTGTAGCACAAACAATAATACGTAAATCAAAATGAGGCAGAGCTGTGTTTCACAACGTTAGTAGTTTCTTTTATTTTATGTTAAAAAATAAAACAGTTCTGTATCATTAAAAAAAAAAAAACCTTGCCTTGGATTGCTGAAACGGGTTGGAAGTAAGATGCTTATGCAGACGATTAAAGTAGGATTTTCTTTCCCACAATTGATCAAGATAGTGCTGTATATTTCACAACATAAGGAAGCAGATATTAATTTATCTCAAAAAAAAAGAAAAAAAAAATAACTAAGAAGTAAAACTTGCCTCTGAAAGCTTATCCGCCTCTAATTCTTCAAGAGCCAGCTTAAACTTGTGATCCCTGGCACCATTATCCATTTCAACCTAAGAAAAGGGAAACGAGAGAGAGGTTAGACAATTAACAAATGTAAAGCAATGATACAATATTTGCTTGCAAAGAGGATGCTTACCTCGCGTGTATGCTTGTCGCTCTGGAGGTGACTGGTGAAATCTTCAAAGGTAGGGCAGAAAAAATAGCATAATCCGCAAGAAAACGGCATTCCACTGCCTTTGTTGTTGAGTCTTCTTGTCTCCTTCTCCTCATTGGAGGACCCTGCGACAAACAAGTTCAGAAACAACAACAACAACAGCTTAATATACGCGAGAGAGAGAGAGAGAGAGAGAGAGTGACACCTTTGAGTAAGCTAGCCCTATCCCAGAGCCACTCTCCACCAAAGTGGACAAAGGATGAAGGATGTGGTTGTTTAGGTTCAACATGTGGTGGATATGCCAGTAGAAGGTTGTATCCACAGTCGGGCCTGACGTAAATCTGGTAAGTGACTGATTCCATTAGACCAGGAAGGCCGGATATGAGTATTATTGTCACCGGAGGAGGCTGACAAAGTCTGTTGCGCGAAACGAAATATTCTGACATGTCCGTATACATGCCGTATCCTGTAGAAATTAAGGACAAGTTGAATTGAATCTAAGCTGATATAAAATTCAATTAAATTAATTTATAAAAGAAAAAAAAATTCAGAGAAAGAAGATTAATTAACCTGAGTGTTTAATAATGAATCCGTTGGAAGAGAGCACATTCAGGAACTCATGAGGGATCCCGTCCAGGTTACCAAGGGCAATGATGGTGAGCGGACCGTTGTAGCCTAGATTCTTTAACTCCGTGTTTATTCTCGGACCGAGCTGACTTGGGTCATAACCATTGGGGAGCGGACAGCTGTCCATGTCCCACCACACCAAAGTTTCAGATGTCGCATACTCAGGCGTCGCCTTGCTTACGTTCTTCATCATCTTTTCTTTGTTTTTTAAACCCTAGCTAATACAATCCATCAGACAGACAGACGCGAATTAGTTCTGATCTAAGTATAACAGACAACACAAAGACATTGAAAATCACCTAGAGAGAGAAAGCGCGAGGGGTTTAGAGATCAAAAGCGATGCCGATCCCTAGCCACTTAGGGTTTCTTTAATAACTTCACTTTATGGACCTACTTAATGGGCTTCATAACTTCACTGATACGTTAACTATCCATATTCGTGTGTTCTCGGTATTAGATGATCTTGTTGTTTTGGGTATCATACTTTGTGATCAAAATATTTTTTTTTTCTATTTATAAGATCATTGAATGTGATCAATTTGTTACATCTCATTCCATCTCATTGTAACATCCCGGTTTAATGGTATATGGAAAGGCTTAAGAGGATTGATTTGTCTACCTATGTCACCAAAGTGCACTTACCTTTTCGGGAGCACATCCAGAGAGAACTCCAGAGTTAAGCGTGCTTGA